AATTATGAAGCTCACTAAATTTTATCACTAGCTTTTAAGTTCTTAAGTGATCATAAGCTAAAAACGGTGTACACCGTTTAAATTTATTTTTTATCTTGGGTACACCAATTAGCATGAAATTGAACAACTGAAACTTTGCTAAAAATTATTCCGGAAATTTATTCAGAATCACATTATCGGATAAAATACGTGCTCTATGATGGGAGTATGGTCTGCCTTATCTTACATACAAGCTATATACACTCAAAAGCTCCAAGTATGCATAATAATATGGCAATGGAATTATAGATTAGCTGAATAGCAGCACAGTTGGATCCTCGCAAATTGGTTATACTGAATCCTCATAGACCACAGCGCTAAACATGATGATGGAGGAAATTAAAGGCCTTATTGAGTCGCGCAAACTATCTCAGCATAGCCACTATAAATAGTCACTTAAGACTGATTATTTGGCTCGCAGCAAATTAAAGAGGTGCACTCGACTAAGAGGCAATATTTACAGCATACCACAGTCAGAGCCCAAATAATGCAAGATCCCTGTGTCACAAGCACATATTTATTATTTATATTGCTAGAATCATCAAAATAAAAAGAATAATTGTCAGATAATGAGGCCAACTAGAAAAAGAAGATGGGGCAGAAAGCAAGTAATCCAGTCCATAAATGATCCTGTGTAACGATTATATGCCAATAAATCCAAGAGAGCACGTAAAATCCTAATGTATGCAGTTTTCGACTTCAGAATGCAAAACTATAAACTTTATTTAACGTAAAACTAACGCACGGAAGCTAATTTCCCAATCCATAAGAGGGACTAAAATTGGGGGAGCTAGAAAACAGGTTTAAATGGAGGCGGGGACACAATAATTGTGGAAAGGGAACTCAGATACGCGATCAATATATCTTAATGTATATTAAGGATGGTGATTAAGGGATAAATTGGGATGTGATAACCATATAATGTCAAATTTAGACCTTCATCCTTTCCCACTATACACCTCCAGGCACATTGAGAGGTTTGCTTATTATGTTTTAGAGCAAATTATAAATAAGGCATGTAAGCAAATGAATCAATTTTATTCTCAAATTTGCTTTAAGGAATGTAATTATTAAGTAAACATCTGGTCCTCCCTGTAGGGTTTGTAGCCCATTACTGCTGATGCGCATAGTCGGCGATCAGCTATCGGAAGATCTTCCCAATTGGATTCACATAAATCAAGATTAAGCTGGGTTGTGATCGGGGTTAGGTGTTTTATAACCTGCTTCGCAAAAGCATACGCTGTGAGAGTATTAGCATTGCTTGAATGGTAAATTGCATATAGTACGCCATGGATTCTTTTTAACTGGCAATAGGTAAGCACGTCGGCAGGAAGCCCAATTATCGTATTAGGTGGCTCAAGAAGCCTATATACAGGAGTAAATGAACGATCATTCGCCATATTTGAAGTCATAAGTGATCTTATAAAGCATATATCATCTGCACTGGAATCTGATGACTTAAAAAGATGAGCGGAGAGAGAGCAAAGCACAAATATCCGAAGATTTGTAAAATCCGTCTCTTTGATAGACAAAGCTTTAAATAGGATTTTTATCCAAGT